ATAAATAAATAAAATCTTAAAAAAAATTTTTTTTTTTTAATTAAAAAAATAAAAACTGAACAGAGAGATAGGAACCAGCAAAGGGGACTAAGAGAGAACTTCCAGTGCATAGGAGCGAAACAGGGGGTGTGCCAAGAGCAAGAGACTGAGTATGTCCAGGAGGAGGGAGGAAGCAATGTGCAGAACGCTACTGGGAGGCTGTATACAGTGACAACACAGGAGGGACCACAAGGTGTGGCAAAATGAAGCTTCCTGGTGAAACTGACCTAAGTGTACCCTCACCTTGTGTTGTCTGCTCTGTCTTTAGACCCTAAGCTCCTGGGCAGTGACTGTGATCTCAGATTCTCAATACTTACCTTCTAATTTCAACGCAGGGGGTAGAAATGAAATTACACACATTCTATGTAGTGTCATGTAGATGCTAAATTAATTCAAAAGGTTTTCTGGCTGATGATTCAGGTGAAGATTTCAATATGATGGCAGGCACTCTTCCATTTCCCACCTCATAGTTCACATACCGTGAGAGATCCGTTTTGTGTGCTGGGTGAGTTGCTACTCTGCTCCCCGTGGGCTTGCGTACTTCCGTAGAGGGTCAGGTTATGCTCACTGGTCTGGCCGGCATAGTCCTGAGTGTGTGGCACTCCATATTCTGTGGGAATTCCATTCTGTGGAGGTGGTGGAAACGGGATGGTAGTAAAAGGCTGAACCATTGCGTCAGGAGTTGTTGTTGGCTCCTGGTTACCCTAAAACAAATAGTGGAAGAGAAAATAAGGAGAAAAAGTGACTTTAAGTTCTCATTACGTGACTATTTTTAAGGTGAGTATACAAAATTCTCTGAGTATTCTCTCTTCGTTCTGGTAAAATGGAAGGCTTACTGCCTCAGGACTGGGGCAAACACTGCCATACACAGAGATGTATATATGTAGCCACGCAAACATACACCCAACTTTGGTCAATTTGTGGTTCTTAAACAGGTCCACGACCATATTAAAATTGATTAGTTACCAAAGAGTCAAAAATTTTCCTTTAAACTAAGTTTAAAAAAAGTGCCAGGAAATTTCTCACACAAGAAGTATTCACAACAGTATGGAACCAGCTCAAAGACACACAAATCAATCAATGAATGAGCAGAAAATATCCAGATAGACACACGCATATACAGTCAGTATTAAGTCATCAAGTCAATTCAGTAGGAGAAAGGAAAGCCTTTTTAACAGATAAAAAACTGAATACCTACTGGGAAAAAAAAAAAAACCTAAACTCATCCCACATATGCAAAAGTTAACTGGAAGAGATAACAGACCTAAATATAAGAGTGTTTTAAAACTCTGAAACATCTAGAAAAAAAGAGGGTAACTGTCAAAATTTTGCAATAAACAAAGAATTCTTTGGTCATAAAAAACAAGAACCTTTGAAGAAAAACTTGATAAACCGAACTCCATCAAAATTTAAACATTTCTTGCTCTTTGAAAGGTACCACTAAGATAATGAAAAGACAAGATGGAGCATGGGAGGCAGCATTCACAGTACACATATCTGGCAAAGAACTGTTACAAATCAAAATGAAAAGAACAAAGCATCTTTTTTTTAAGATGGGTTAATGACTTTATTTATTTTTAAAGATATTATTTATTTATTTGACAGAGAGATAGAGAGAGAGAGCACAAGTAGTCAGAGCAGCAGGCAGAGGGGGAGGGAGAAGCAGGCTCTCCGCCGAGCAGGGAGCCCAATGCGGGGCTCGATCCCAGGACCCCGGTATCATTACCTGAGCGGAAGGCAGACGCTTAACCGGCTGAGCCACCCAGGTGCCCTGGGTTAATGACTTTAACAGACAAACTCCCACAAAAAGATAAGCAAAAAAAAAAAAAGATATACCAATGGGCAGGAAATACACGAATGTGTGGCTCAACAACATTAGTCATCAAGAGTATGAAATTAAAACGAAACGAGCTACCCTTTCACACCAATTACAAGGGCCACAAGACTGAAAATACCGAATGTTGACAAGGATGTGGAACAACAAGAACTTTCATATACTGCTTGGCAAAGTGTAAAACAGTATATTCATGTGGAAGAACTGTTCTGCAGTTTTATTTTTTATCTAGTTAAAATACTCCTTATATTCACCCTGAAGAAATAAAAGCTTATGTGTACAGAGACACTTGTACAAGTATGTTCATGGAAGCTTTATTCATAATAGCCCCAAACTGAAAACGACTGTACTGAAATCAACAGAAAAATGGATAAACAAATTGTGGTTTATTCACAAAATGGAATGTTACATAGCTTAAAAAAGAGAGAGAGAAAAAAAAGAATAAACTACCAACAACATAGATGAATCTTAAAGCTGTGCTAAATGAGATACAAATCTATTGTAACAGAAGTGAGAAAATAGTTGTTTCTTTTTTGGGGGGCAGGGAGTGATGATGGAGATCTGGAACATTCTAGGATGGAACATTCTAGGATGACAGAAATGTTAAATTTCTTGTTAAGGATGATGGTACCAAATTGTTAAAAGTCATTAAACTGAACACTTGATGTCACTACATGTTAATAACAACAAGGGAAAAATAAGGCAATAAAAAAACCACTGGCAAACATATTAAGCTGTGAAATACCTGTCATCATTAAGAATCACCCGCCCCTATGACTCATTCTACACACAATAAGGCGACAATCCTGCACTGGAGATAAAGAGAACGCAGAGGCAACTATAGCTATGTACTTAGAAAAGCCCAAGAAAGTAACTACAAATGAGTAGACCTAATAATAAAATTTTGTCATATTTATACATTATTTTACAACCAGCAATAACCAGTTATTCAAAATGGCAACAAAATGTATAGGATAAAACACACGATGTAGGATATAAAACAAGGCCTGAATAAACAGAGAGATGTATTTTGTTTCTGGAGGAATGCTTCATACAGAAATGTTAATCCTTGCTAAAATAAAATGTATACCTAATGTCATTTTGTTAAGACTTTATTTATTTATTTAGAGAGTGCGTGAGGAGGGGGGCAGAGGTGAAGGGAGAGAGAATCTTAAGCAGACTCCCTGCTGAGCGTGGAGCCTGCCATGGGGCTCAGTCTCACGACCCTGAGATCATGACCTGAGCCAAAACCAAGAGTCTGATGCTCAACTGACTGAGCCACCCAAGTTCCCCTACCTAATGTCATTTTCAGTCAGAAGCAAACAGAGCCTGGAGAAGAAAACAGGACTAAATATAATTCTAATTGGTATGTGAAAAACTACTATGAAAGTTTGAAAAGGGAAAAGCTATGAAGTGGGGCATGCTCTATCGTACAGTAAGACTTGCCATAAAGCTACTGTGATTAAACACTAAGCATATACACAGTGATTAACAGAACACTGATTATCCTAAAACAGTTTCAAGTTTATATAGAAAATTAATAGAAGATAAAAGTAGCATTTCACTTCAGTGGGGAGAAATTATTTATTTACCACAGAGGATCTGTAAAAGCTGGCTACCCACCAGAAAGAAAATAAATGAGCCCCTCACAGTGTATACTCCATACGAGAAAAATTCAAGAAGGAATAAAATCTAAGAGAACAATGGAAACTAAGAAAATACAAGAAAACCTGGGAGCATAACTGGGGTTGGGGGACTCACATAAGATAGGAAGATAGGAAACCTAAAAACCAGGAAGGAGAGAAAGGACAGACATGGCTGCAAAAGTTAGGAAGGAAAGGAGAGCGGGGGAAGAGGGAAGGCAAGGGAAGGGAAGGGGGAAAAATGGCCTTTCAAGTCAAAAGAAAAACCAACTGGGGCAAACAACTGCAACAGATACAACAGACACTGGGTTGTCATCACTAATGTAATAGTAGGTTGTACCAACTGATAAGAAACACACACAACAGAAAAAGGCAAACAATATAACTGAACAATTCAAAGATGATGAAATACCATCAAAACGTTCAATCTCACTAACATATGGAAAAACGTATTAACAGCAAAACAAGTCCAATTTTTTAGTCATCTAATTAATAAAATTTTTTAAAAAAGTTTTATTGCGATATAATTGACCTACACAACAAACTGCATCTACTCATTTATAGTGTAAGCACTGACATATATACATGCACTCCCATGAAATCACCACCACAAACTAGGGGCATATCTACTCCAAGTCCCCAAAAGTCTCCTCATGCTCCTAATAATAAACATGTATGACTTTTGTAATAAAGCCTACCAAGTATTGTGCAAGAAAAATGTAATCAATAAGAGGAAGCCGATATGCTGAAGCACTGAATTATTACTGTGCTATCCTTAAGAAAATGGTAGTGACGGGGCGCCTGGGTGGCTCAGTCAGTTAAGCCTCTGCCTTCGGCTCAGGTCGTGATCCCAGGGTCCTGGGATCGAGCCCCGCATCGGGTTCCCTGCTCCGCGGGAGGCCTGCTTCTCCCTCTCCCACTGCTTGTGTTCCCTCTCTCGCTGTGTCTCTCTCTGTCAAATAAATAAAGTCTTAAAAAAAAGAAAGAAAAAGAAAATGGTAGTGACATTACCTAGAGACAAAATTAATAACTGTCTTTCATTTTCAAGTTACACAGCATCAAAATTCAGATGTCTCCAGTGTCCAAGAATCATCTCTAAGTGGTATTAAGGATTGCTTTATATAAAAATTTTTCCTTTGCTTAGTTTTTAGAAATTAGGCTATGAAAACCTTAAATTTTTGCCCATAATTTTTCAGGGAAAAGGTCTATCTTTGTCACCCACCACCATGTAAGTTCTTTTCATGATCTCCAGGCTGGGGTACTGTATATGACTTCTTAGCTATCCTGGGTGTCCTAAGAGAGAAATAAAACAACCCTCTCCCTTCTTCAAGTTACACAGGGCTGTATCCATATCCACTGACCTGCCTGCCTGCCCCCTGCATGAAGCACACTGCTTCAGAAGCCCTCCTCATAGGATTTACTGGCCTGAAGTCAGATATGAAAGATAAAATTCAAATTCAGGTGGATTGGTGAATGCAGGAGAGCAAGAGCACCAAAGGTCTCTGTAGCTCTACACTCCCAACTCCAGGCATAAATATAATCTTACAGTATATAAGAAGGGTCTACTAAATAATCAGTAAGGCTAAAAGACACTGCTTCCCAGTTATGATTAACACAGCAAAGGGACTTGCTTTCCATACTCCAACTCGGCTCCTTGCAGACTCATTCCTGCTCTGGCCTCCCTTCGCCCCCAACCCAACCATGCTGGGAGTGAGGTGCTGGCACATGAGTTCACAGTACTGACTCTCCCACAAGGGTAGTCTTGACAAAGCTGGTTCAGTCAACTGAATCAACACATCAATTAGCAGTGGGGGGTAGGGGGAGAAAGGTAAAAACATTTTATAGGATCTACTTGAAGCCTTGACACTACGTGTTTCAAAGAAATACAAGGCAGGCAGAGGCTGAACTGTTTCCTGAAAAAAGGGAAATGTAAACCTTTGTTATGAGGCCAAAATGAAATTCTCAGCAGATTATTTTACTCCTTATAGGAATTTTTAAATTTTTGTTTAAAAAATACATTATGTTTATACACTAAGGGAATGAAATTGGAATAGGAGTGATTTTGCATTTTATTTCATACACTCTATATAATGTCTGAAAATATCCCCAATAATCTATGATGATGGCAATGATTATCAATGCTAAATGGTTTCAGATTTCTATTAAATTTCCAGGATATATTCCAAAGTTATAAGTTCAGAAAAGAAATATGATAGCCCCCAGGCAA